ATGTCCAAATTTACTTGATGTATTTATGTAATACAGTTGTAAATGTCATAAAGAAATAAAAAAAAATAAAAAAATTCAAATTTACTTACTCAAATATCTAAAATGTTTTATCAATGAGTTATCGATTCAATATCTCTTCAATCCCACATCACAAATCTTAAAAAACATTGTCCATATTGTAGGATTGTTATTAGAGTTAGGCATTAGTCGGTTTAAAATTTTTCCAACCAAAAAACCTTCTAACAAATCTGAATAAATTTTCGGTCGTTGATTTTAAACTAAAATTTCAATCAATCAAAATATCAGTGTGACTAACTTTATTTTAGAATGAAAATTTAATAGGCTAGAGGTGCAATTGAAGAGATTTATGAATTGTTTCTTAAAGATTCATCTTTGGAATTCACAAGCGTTGCCATATTTCCTGCTGGTCGAGTTGAAGTGGCTCTATCTTACTTCCCGATGGCAATGCCTCCTTGATTTTTTCCTATTCCAACTCCTCAGAACAAATAATCCTGCCTGTATCGAAGAACTTCTTACTCGAAGTCCCTCTACCAACATTCTAAATACTAGATCTCTACATATTGATCTATTAGTTGTAATGCAATTCTTCTTCTTCTTAATCGATACCTCTTCTACCGTAGATCAGTGTAGAGGATCCTGTTAATATAGACTTCACCTCGTATCTCGTTCTTACACCAGCTGACAGCGTCAGTTCTAGTACGTTCCTCTCATTTCTAAATCCTTTTTGATTGAACTTTACCCTAGTTTTTCTAGACCATCTTCTTGGCACTCTTCCTTCCACTTTTACTTTATACATGATTTTGCCCATTCTTCCTTTATGCATTCTTTTTAAACGACTAGCGTAGCCTGGTTTTTACTATTGTATTTTCTGCTGCTTTTAATCCCAGATTGCTACTTATTGTCGTATTTTTTTGGTTTATTATTTTCAATGATCAACCATTGTGATCGAACAAAAAATTCAAAAACTTAACCCCCTCTCAAAATTTGAGGTTTCACGTTTCAGGATGCGTAGAATTCGAAAAACGAATACAAATGTTTTTGTACGTCCGCACATTTTCTCCAAAACTACTGGACCGATTTTTTTCAAATTTTGATATAAAATCAGGTCACCCGAGGATGTTCCTCCTTCATCGACATTATTATCTGCCTTTTACTTTAAGAATGGTGGCCCAAAAACCTGCGTTGCTATAGACTGTAAAGTCATTTTCTCGACGCCCTTTAAATTTATCTATTTAACATACTTCAACGAAAAGAAGCTGAAAAAAAAAAATACGAGGTAAAATTAAATTCCGAATAACTCAAAAAGTTTAAACTTTTTCTTTGATATTGTATTAACTTTTTTAAAGTTTACGGAATTTACTAAAAAAAAAAAAAAAAAAATACAATCATTAAAATCGGACTATTAGGAGCAATGATATGGTCTCCAGTTTTTTTTTATTTATATGTTCTACTGCAAATCCTTTGTTTTGGATTTTAAATTTTGAATGTGTTACTGAAGTAATGCTGTTTTTGTTTAGCATATTACCAATGACTAAAAAAAAAATTAGTCTAATAATTGGAATGACCTTTTATTTATTTTTCTTTGTAACTCGGAAGGTAATGTTACTTTAGATGTATAATTGTTTGGAAATAATAAACCATTGTGAAATAATTTGAAGCGTTTTTTCCTTCTTGTATTAAATTAAATAATACTATTTGTTTAATTTAGTATTTATTTGACCGCACCCCCCTCCCCCACTCTTTTCTATTCAGAAACCGCATTTTAATTGTAATGTAATTAGTATTCCTGAAAATGGATAGAACTTAGCGTTGTTTAGCTTTTTAAACGTCTTTTAAAAAGAAAAAAGAAAATACTCCTATTTAAAGGAAATATACAGTTTACTATGACGTAGTTGTTAATTCCTCAAATTAATTATTTTTTATTTCTATTTAAAAAACTAGATTAAAAAAAATCCTAAATCTCCTCATTTTCTGAGAAAAATCGGACCATTAATTATTGAACCTTTTTTGTACCACATGAGGTTTGCTATCACTTTTTTGAATATTTGCTTTACATTAGAGACACCCAATATATCTCCATTCACAAAACCACTTCCATTAGCAAATCCTTTGAAATTAGTGCTACCTCTTTTTGGCACTCCTTAACTATAAAATATATAAGTCTAATTTGTGTATCTTCTTCCACAAATTTCTTTACACAAGTGTTCCACAACCTTATTCAATTCAATTTTCCACAACCATATAGTAATTATTTGTTTCTGTAACCACTATGGCTGCTGGCAGTTCATTTGCAAGTATGGTTTTGTAGTTTTTCATATGAGACTCATTTATTTATTTTTATTTTTTTTTTCGGGGAATGCCACATACAAATAGAGTTGGCTATAATGGTTACAATGAACAAATTGATATGAAAAACATTTACAACTTATATACAAAGTAAAATTCATTAGAACTTAACAACGTCCTCTCCTTATAACAACCATCTGACTATATGCCTAAATATAAACAATGAAGTATAATATAATAACTCATATAATACAATAATTCAAAATAATACATCTAAATATAGCAAGCTATAAAATGACAAATAGTTATGAATAGCACTAGTAATAAAGATAAATACAGGCATAGTATACACAGTATATATAATACCCAGTATATATAAACATGTCAATAGTAACTAGCAAATGATACAATAAAACACGATATGCATATAAATATGTTTCATAACGATGTAGAGATGGTTGACCGTTAATATAATATGATAAGTAGTTGATCGGAGGGTGCGGTCAAATAAATACTAAATTAAACATATAGTATTATTTAATTTTTGCAGACGTTTATACAATTTTTGTTTGTATCTTCTACATATATAATACTTGATATTTTAACTACATTGTCACCCACTATATCTCAGATATCATCTTTTTATTTCTGTATCAGACAACTTCTTCTTATTTTATATCTACTTATATTCATTTATTTTATTTTCACCATATTTTGTATCTTTTGTAGCCCTAATGAAGACCTGCAAAGTGGGTCAAAACGTCGGCAAAAATTAAATAATACTATTTGTTTAATTTAGTATTTATTTGACCGCACCCCCCCCCCACCGACCAACTCCTTCTCATAAATATGTTTCATGCATGAATAATAAATACCACAAGCAGAACAAAGTAAATAAACTTCAAAGTTTTGGGAAAAATATATGTAATGTTGTTATTCATTGAAAATAAAGTACCTCAATCTGCAACATTGCCTCGTGTAATAAAACAGGTTCTTGAGGAAGACTTCATTGTCAGTTTTGAATAATTCCAATGGAATGAGGTAGGAAGTGTTGGCGGAAGTGAGCATAAATCGGGCACCGGGCAAAAATATGAAAAAGGTCCTCTAATTCATTTAGGTTACAAAGCGTTCAAATTTCTTTTGGCTTGAAATAGTAATAAATATTATTAAACGTTAATTTAATATTATAATTGCCAGATAACCTAATCTGTGTTTTCGTCATATGGAACGGGGCATTTAATACGAGATAAGGCTGATGCTCATCACTCGCTGTATAAATATTGCGCTGTACCTAGTAGGTGTAATCAGTTTTTGTTGATCAAGTTCCTCTATACGGCTTTTAAACAGGCTTACCGTTTCATTCATTCCTAGCTGGAAATATCAGATTAATGTACATAATTCTTGAACTATCATTATTTTTAGGGGACATTAGCACTAGAATTTTTTTTTTAATTTCTTAATGATGTTTACAACTGTATTATATAAATACATCTAGAAAATTTGAACATACGGATATAATGACATGAAAACACTTGCTGAGTAACTAGCCAATGGTAGCACTCTAATAATATGTCTACATTAGGAAATTACGGGGCCATCTTCTTTTCAGATGCTTTCGGAGGGTTATCAGGAAATGAAGAGGAAGCAAGGTTAGAAACGAGAGGATTCTGATGGTTATGAAGTATATTATGAAAGGATATGTATGTGGATTGGGCCAGATCTGAAACAAAAGAAACATTAAGGTCATTATGGATGGCTTTATTTGTAACAAAGTATATGCATCGAGAATTTTACGAAGGATTTTGGATTGTAAGGATTGGATACGAGAGGAATTAGTTGGTTTAGTGGAGCCCCATAGCTTAACTCCGTAAGTCCTAATAGGCCTTATTATAGTCATGTTAATGAGTCTTTTGTAAGTAATTGGAAGTTTAAAGCGTTTGTCTAGTAAGTGCTGAAGTAATCGGAAACGTCGAGCGGTTTCTTGTCATTTCAGTCTGGTATGAGGGAATTTAAAATTAAAATTTTTAACTTTAGTATAACGATGATTACATCAGCGATACAACTTCAAAACAATACAATCATATAACACAAATAATAGACTCTCAAATAATTATACATACACATCATGCGTAATAAAACATAATTTTCAATTATTGGAACATAATATTTCTAAGGATTTTGGATTGTAAGGATTGGATACGAGAGGAATTCGATGGTTTAGTGGAGTCCCATAGCTCAACTCCGCAAGTCCAAATAGGCCTTATTATAGTCTTTTGTAATTAATTGGATGTTTAGAGCGTTTTTTCAGTCAGTGGTGAAGTAATCGGAATCGTCGAGCGGTTTCTTGTAGTTTCAGTCTAGTATGAAACATTAGAATAAAATTTCTTTTTCATTTCATTTTATCTAAGCAAGAGGGTGAAGAGAGTTACCACCAACTGAGGATGACGCATGGTTCAAAAGAACCTGTTGAATGCTATGAACGGACTCCGGTCAAAGAACTGGTTCGAACGGAGCTAGCGGAGGTCGAGGAAGTACGGCACGCAGATGGTACGGAGGACCAATGCCCCCGGGGCTATCGGCCGAAGTAGAGGGGCTGCAGGAGTACGCTCAGGAAGCGATGTAATTAGTTCTCTCCAAGGTCAGTCCGCTCTTTATCAGCTCTGAGCCAGCGGCCGCCACTTCAGTGGTCCTCAGCCAGTCATGGAGTTAGCCATCGTCTTCTCCGTCCTCTGCATCGTGAGTATTTCGATAACCATATAGACTATATATATATATATATATATATATATATATATATATATATATATATATATATATATATATATATATATATATATATATATACATATATATATATATATATAAATATCCATATATATAAGTGTGTTAATAAATATGTGTTTAAATTCATGACATTGATTCAAACGAAAACACAAATTAAAAAATAAAGTTTTTTTTTATAGCACCATAAAATCAGATTAACAACAAATTTAAATATCTATATACATGAAGTGAAAAAAATAATTTCATTGCAATGTCTTATTTTTTAAAAAAAGTCAAGTTCTAGATAAAATCATATTGGCTCAATATGAATCACTTATTTGAATGATTATTATTTATTTTTACGTAAACAATTATTACAATTATCTATTGGCATAAATTTTGGGAGATAGTAATATCTTTTTAAAAATAGGTTTTTTTAAGTAACTTTGAAAATTTTTCCATCAAAAAGTATCTGTTTACATCTCGATGATCAAGCATTAAAACAACCTTTAAACTCTTCTCAGAATCAAATCAAGTCACAAGCACTTGCATCCCCCCAAAATATATTCATTAATAAAAAAAGTTCATGTGGACTAATTATTTTTATTTATAATGTTTCATTACACTAACATCAACGGCGAGAAATTGAAGTATGGTGGGAAAAAATTACCAGCAATCATGATTTATAAAATAATATATACATGTATCTAGTCATAATCATAATTGTTTAAATACTCTTAGGATATTAAAATGTATAATTTAAATTTTTTTTAAAGTAATATCTTTATGAGGGCACTGTTATATTTCATCAAAATGCAAAAATAACTTATCCTTAACATTATAATAAAATAAAAATATAAAATTATATTGCATAATATAAATATGTGAGTCGCAAAATTTATTATTAAGACATGAACTTCGTATTTTTCTTATCTAGATCATTCCTGGATTTTCTGACGTGATTTATTCAAATAATGTTATCAATAAATTAAAAACTTAAATATAAATACACACAAATTTAATGTTAGTAAAAATTAATTACAAAAATCGTATTTTTCGAAATATAATTAAATAAAATATTTTTTTTTTAAATTAGTATGTTTTTGCTATTAATTAGAACTGAAACGTATAATATTTAAATAACTTGGAAACTGTAGTGTAAATATTTTTTTAAAAAATCAAACGATGAAAAATTATTTTTAAAAAATATAGCACTTATTTTTAACAGAATTTTTATCTGCTGATAAAACTGAGAAAGTTAAAAGATAAAATTAAAATCATTGCTGATTTGTGTTATCAGAAGTTTCGAAAGTACTCGTATTTTAATTTTAATAATCTAATCATAGAGTTTATAACATTTTTTATTTTTTTATTTTCCCTGATTTCTGTTTTGCTTTTTATTTTATTAATTTTTTTTAATGTTTTTAGTTTATATTGTTTATATTTTCAATGAAGATATTGTTCTATATGTATTCTTTAATTTTTATTGATGAAGTTTTCGGCCGGATATGGTTTTAGTTCATATTTGTTATTTTTTATGGACGTTGTTCTAGAATTTTCATAAGTTAATTTTTTTAATCTTTATTTTATTTTTTATTGTTGATTTGTAAAAAATTATGCAGATTGAAACGATGACTCATTGTCACAAACTGTGATAACTTGCATGAAATGTCATCTCGGACATGATTAAACTGTGAAAGGCTTCGTCACCACGGTACAGTTTCGGCCAAATTATACCGAAATGAAATCGAAATTATATCTGCTCACAATAATAAACCGGAACCGAGTTTAAAAAAACCAGATCAGTGGAACGTCCGGGGAACCCAATATGTGTCAAAGGAATCCCGTTTGGGATTTTAAAGGAAATACCGTTATTATTCCAATGAATTTTCCATTAGCATTTAAAGCTTGTATAACGTGATTTTGAGCTCATCAAAGGCTATTAATGATTCCTATTAATGGAACATAGATTCGTTCAATAAATATTTTCATATTAATCACGCATACTAATCTAATTTTCATTTAGTTACCTTCTCAACAAAATAAAAGAGAACAAAAATCGCGTTATTTGGTTAATCTTTATTCTTATTTTGGCAGTTTATTTGAGGCCACAGAATATTTTTTTTTTTTAATTTATTAAGTATTACAACAATCTTGGACATTAGTTATAGTGAGGTAGGATAACATTCACACTATATGTACAAAAAATATAAAATAAATAGAATATAATGCATTCGGATCAGTAACATGATTTCTAACCACCTCCAACACCCTCCATCCCGTTTGTCCCCTTTTTCTCTCCCCTTTTTTTTAAAGATTTATCCTCAACCCGCTCTTTCCTGAAAACAAATGACCACCTCATTATTACTAATGCTGACGAGGGAAATTCGACCGTTATTATGGACAAGACAGAATACACACATAAAATAAATTTTAAAAAAAATCTTTTTATTGAGAAATAATACATTTTGCCACATTTAAGGGCACTGAGTACTAAAGCTGAGTGAGGCCCATTCATACTATATACACAATACAATAAATAAAATAAATAAATAAATAAAAATATATATCTAATAAATAAAAAAAAATAATAATACATAAAAATAAAAAATAAAAATATATATCTAATAAATAAAAAAAATAATAATACATAAAAATAAAAAATAAAAATATATATCTAATAAATAAAAATATATATCTAATAAATAAAAAATAAAAATATATATCTATTAAATAAAAAACAAAAATATATATCTAATAAATAAAAAATAAAAAAATATATCTAAAAATAAAAAATAAAAATATATATCTAATAAATAAAAAAAAAAATATATATCTATTAAATAAAAAATAAAAATATATATCTTATAAAATAAATAGAAACAAAATAATAATCAAAAGTATATACAATAAATAATAAAATAAAATAACCCAAAAAATAAGAAAATTAAAACTAAGCAAAAAACACAAGTATACCTATGTACACAGAAAATAATTTTATAAAGTTTTGAAAACAAAAAAGAAATATATATCAGTATAAGCGCATACATAAAAAAAAAAAAATAGTTTTTATTATGTCCTAAAATTCATCATAGGGTAAGCTCACCAGAGATGGACATAGCTAAAGAAATGTTCATCTTTTTTTTTGCTTATGCCGCTGTAATTATTAAAGTTATAAATTTCTCCGTTTTACGATTAGAATCTCTAGGATCTCCTTTTTCTATTTAACACTTTACAATTGAAAAAAAAATCAGTTATGTAAATATAATCTCCATTTAAAAAAAAACAAAAACACCTTTTTGCACTAGTGATGGAGACCCCGAAATTCAATTGTTCTAGTAATGGACAGGGCAGAGGGGCAAGTAATGGACATAACTCTTTTATCAAATCTTTATTTACTTTTAAAGATAAAGATAAGATAACACAAATGTTCAATTTACTCTTAGCAATGCTATTAGTAACAATGTATGAAACAAACTGATCTCAAGAGCACTATAGAAACAATAATGATTTTCTATTCTTTAAAATTTACTCTTGGGAACTTTGTTCATACAGTTGTCAAAAGACGACATTGTTCTTCAGTCTAGAAAAAAATGGTATCTTTGAATCAACAAAGAAGCTTATTATTTATATTTAAAGTCCGAACTGTCCATCTGTTAAGTTCACCCTAATTATTGAGAAACAAACAAATATCTTTGAAAATCAAATTTATTATATAAAGTGATAATAAAACTGAAGTTTTTTTTATAAGTGTTTAATTGGTCACTTATAAATATAGATCAATTTCTATTAATGAAAAATAAATAAAACTCAGAGAAATATTTTATAATTTTATTATCACTTTAGACGATAAATATTCTAAAAATCATTTTTAAAAACATTCTTGTTGCAATAAAACAATAACAAATAAAGCTTTGCAATAATTTATTATAGTCATTATCGCTGAAAATACGGGTACTTTAAGGTGACAGAATATTAAATACCTCATTTTTTTATACAACTTGAGGTGAATATCAGCTTATTTCGTAATAAACCCATAACTTAATTAATATGGACTCAAACTTTATTAAACAAGATTATTTTTTGTAAGTTGGTTATCTATAGTATACTTGGATGGTGATAAATAAAAATCGCGAATAATTTACGATTATTCTAAAAACAGAACTTAGCTTAGTTTAGCCTCTCAAAAGACCTCTGTATATGGTTTTAATAATGACAAACTCTATGTTAATTTAAAGTAAATTTCATGTTGTTTACAATGAAGCAATTATTATTAATTAAATTAAATTAAATTTCTTTACAATATTACTCAATTCTTCTTCGGTGCATACTATTTATTTTCAATATAATTTATTATTAGCCATATTTACACCAATTTAAAAAAATTTGTTGTCACTTAATGACTACTCATCAAAATGACGACGTTTCGGCTCGTCGAGCCATTTTCAAGTCCATCATGTACCTGTCATTTTCACTTATGCGAATTGCAAGCGTCTACTCATAATAAAATTCCTTATTATTGTCATGTTCACCTTGTTTCTGAGTCACCCACATGTCATCCATCACATTTCTATTCAGTGACTGAATAGAAATGTGATGGATGACATGTGGGTGACTCAGAAACAAGGTGAACATGACAATAATAAGGAATTTTATTATGAGTAGACGCTTGCAATTCGCATAAGTGAAAATGACAGGTACATGATGGACTTGAAAATGGCTCGACGAGCCGAAACGTCGTCATTTTGATGAGTAGTCATTAAGTGACAACAAATTTTTTTAAATTGGTGTAAATATGGCTAATAATAAATTATATTGAAAATAAATTTCTTTAGTTTGTTTGTTTGTTTCGATCTCTAGGCTCAAAATATCCAGGTCATCAGATCAACTAAATAACACTACTTTTATACTGTTCGGGTGGTTGCTACAAAAAATAAAAAAATTTAAAAAGGGTAAGAAAAAGAAGGAAGAAG